GATGACCCCCAAAACATAAAGGAAAATACTGAAAAGACTTAAGAACTCTGATCAATGTAGTGACCAATTGTGGCACTGGGTACCAAGAAGCTGAAGTGGCCTGCCAAAGGTCATCCAGAAAGATGGTGGTAGTGGTGAGAAAGGGCTTGGCCTATTGGCAGTCAGCTCAATGTCAACTTCCCCTCAATTCCCTGTTTCTCACAGTCTATCCATCATATTGGGATAGTTTCCTTTGATAAGATGCTCAGGGCTGACAGACAGCCCTGGCAGCACCTAAGGGTAAGTATAAATAACTAGAAGAGGGGGAGTGAGTGGGAAGAGGGGAAAGGAGGCGGAACATGGTCTCACCAGGTGTGTTTTCCATCACTTCACCAGAACTACTCAGCTTCCACCCACCATATTTCTCTCCATGGCCCTCTGGAGCAAAGTCTCCTGGTACCCAATGCTATTTGCTTTGGACCAGTACATGGATTATAATCACCGACCGAATTGTAAAAGGAGGAAGCAGCCAAGTCCCTAAAGGGATGGAAAGGCTATCCAAACCTCCCAGCTCATAAAGCACTTTCTTCCCAACAACCAAGGAATATGATTTTAGAGCCGAAAGGAACCCCTGAGTTCATTCTAATGCAATATTCCATCCATGCTGTGTGGATCTTGTACATACCTAGTTATCTACCAGTTGTCTGCCTCTTTAGAATTTAAGCTCCTTGAGGGTAGGGACACATAGTAAGTGCTTAGCTAATGCTTGTTAATTGACTCACCGATTCCTTCATTTTACAGCAGAAGAAATAGAGGCCCAGAGTAATGACTATTTTGTAAATATTTGTATCTGTTCTTTTTATATTTACTCTGCACATATACTTCTATATGTCGTTTTTGTTTCCAGCATTAGAATGTGAGGTCCTTGCAAACTGGAATAGTTTCATTCTTTGTATTTGTATTGCCAGTGTCTAGCATAGTACATACAGTAGGCTCTTAATAAATGCTTGATTGATTATTCAGGAATCAAACCCAGGTCTGGGACAAGTATTCTTGTTATTTCTGTTTTATTGATGAGGAAACCAAGGATGATGAGACTTACTCTAGGCCTCACAGGCTAGTCAGTTGCAGAGCTAAGATGAGAATCAGAGCCCTTCGACTGCCAAGTCCAGTCTGCTTTCACTTTGCTGTGCTACCATGCAGAGTTCGGGAAAACTAGGGAGAGTCTAGAACATCAGAGCTGGAAGGACCTTCAGGTACCATTGGCTTCACCACCACCACCCAGCACACATAGGACAACTGGAGCCCAGATCACACAGCAAGTTATTAACAGGGATAGGAATAGCCCCTGCTGCCATCCCATGGCACTTTCCACTCCCCTACTGTTGCTCCCATGTTGCTTCCATTATGATTCCTCCCTTGGCCCCAACCAAAACTCAACCCATCCCCAAGAGATGCTCCTTGGAAATGAGTCACTCACTTCCTACGAGCTCTGAGATCAATACTGCAAGTATCTGGAACAACATTGGGCACTTGTAATTTCCATTTTTCTCTTTCACCTTACCTAGTGTGTGACAAGACAAGCGGGATGGGGAAGAAATTCTATCAAGTGTGGAATGTATAGGAAAAGGCATGAGAACAGTGACAGAACCTGAGAGCACATGGGACTTGGGCTCACGCACAGTCATGCAAGGGAGTGGGGGAGGAGAAGCGCTGAACTTGAGAGAACGGAGGAGAGGCCCAGCTTGGTGGAAGGAGGGGGGAGAAGACTAGCACATACAAATAACCCCACTTGTAAGATCTGAGGTTGCTCTAGCCTGTCAGAGTGCACGAAGCATTTTTTTACATCCTCACAATAGCAATATGAGGTATCTGCTCCAGGGGTTGTTATCTCCCTTTTCCAAATGGAGAAGCAAGATTTTGAAGTTAAGTGACTTTCCCAAAGTCACACAGTTAGGAAGCTTTGGAGTTTGCCTTCAAATTGGAGCCTAGGTTTCCTCATCTACAACAATGGAAATGATGATGTTTCCACTGTGTCCTCCAAAGAGTTGTTACGAGGCAAGTGTTTCTATAGAAATGTAAGCTCGTATTATTGTTATTTATCAGGTTACTGGAAAACTGAGCCAGCTCTCTAATGGGCCTCCATGTCCAATGATGGAGATATTCTAAATAGGCACTCCAGCTTCTTGCCTGGACCCAGTTCATTCTATATTTATTCATTTACACTCTTAATCTATATAATTTTGGAAACAGTACCAGAATTCGGGACAAGCAAGGTAGACAGCCAGCTCAGATATACAATACATGATAGGGCACAACAGGAACTATTTCTTAATGTAACCTTGTCCAAATGCATCAGACCTCCATGGGGGGGGGGGAGCGGCTAGGGGCAGAGCAGTATTCCCAACCACCTGCAAGCCCTGGGAGATCTCAATGGGCCAATGGACCCCAGCAGCACTTTGGGGGTGGTTAGGGTTTTGGAGTCTCCCTAGCCTCACCTTAGTGCCCTCGAAACTGGCTGGAGTGGCTCTAGCTCCTTGCTCATCTCCCAGGCTTCAGGAAGGGAGTACAGTGTTCAGGATGAGCCCCCCTCCCTGAAACAAAACGTCCCAAAGGTCTCTAAGGCAGGGCACTGTCTCTTTAAGAAGATGTACAAAGGTCACTCCTGGCGAAGCTATATTAAGTGTTAGTCCTGTGGTACTGAAGGGGAATGTTGGCTGACTGGCAGACTGGCAGGCTGGCAAAGGGTCTGTCTCAGTGACAACATAGCACACCCAATCCCCAAGAAGCACTTATGACACCACTTCCCTGCTCACATTAACGCATAATTAAGGCACCATTTCATTTTCAGGTTCTGGCTTGCTTTTATTTCCCCTCCGCTTGGACCCCATTTTGCTCAGTCCTCCTGGGGGCTCTGAGTGAGTTGGAGCACTGGCTAGCTCTGCTGGGTGGGGCAGGGTAATGGTTTAAGGAGGGGGATGTCTGGGGGAGTGGGGAGGAAAGGAGAAGGGGGGGTGGTCTTTGAATCTTTATTTGTTCCTTTCACTTCCCGACACAAAGGCCACTGAGAAGAACCAGGTTCTCTCCAGGGTCCTGAAAATCATCCCCAGCCCAACTTCCCCAGGTAGCTTCCAGAAGACTAGAGTTTCCCAGTTCTAGGCTGTGCACAGCTAAGGAGACAGGAGCTAAAGTGCTTCCCTTATTTATTGATTGTATTAATTACCTTCCAATTATGATTGCTCTGTTTGCTGCATTAAGGAAGTATCAAGGCGTGAGCTGGGTGCCCAGGGACAGGCTGCAGCATACTGTTGGGTCTCCACAGGAGAGCTGAGTTGGCACTAAGCCCCACATTCTGCTTCCCGTGACAAGTCGTGCTCCCCTTTGTGAGATTTCTAGACAGGGTTAGGGGGAGACTAGGCATAGAGCATGGCCAGCTGCCAAGAGAAGAAGAGAAGGATTGAACCCATGACCCTGGCCCCGTTGACAGAGCAATCTCCCATTCAGGGTTACAGGCCACAAGTGAAATGTCCACATATGAAGGTCCCAGCAGGGAAATAATGAGTGTGAGCACATTTGAGAACAGAGAAGGAAGCTATGAGGATAGATTTGGGGGTTTTTGAGGCCCTAAGCCCACAGGCAACAACCTCCAGCAGCTCCATACTATGAAAGAGGGAACTATATCTTCCTGTTAGCCATTTTAGCAGTGATAGCTTCTTCATAAAGGCCTGAAAGGCCATTAACAAGAGACTCTTTATAGAGAAGAGACCTAGATTCAAATCTTGGCTCGCATTTGCTATCTGTGTGACCACTGCTAAGTCCTTTCCCCTCTCTGGGCCTGTAAATTGAGAAGTTAGAATAGCTGGTCTCTCAAGCACCTTTTAAACTCACATTATGGAATTCTAGGATTTAATACATTGCTGGCAATAGAGGCCCGTTCCTGTGGCTGGGCTCAAGTGTAAATGAAAGACTCCATAGAAAGAGGTAGTAGCCCCTATGATGGGATGAGAATGATACTCCAAATGAAGCCACTGCCAACACATCTTTTTCTCTGATCTTTTAATTCAGGTCTGGCATCTAGCCCTCCCTTCCAACTCTCAGGCTTTTTAATTTCCCAGTTGTCAGGGTACTTTCATACATTATCTTCCCTGATCACAATATCCTGTTGGAAAGTAAATTCATAAAATGTCAGAGCTGGAAGGACTTTAGAGATCATCTAGACCAATCCTTTCATTTTAGAGATAAGGAATAGAGACCCTGAGAGGGGAAATGATTTGAGGTCAATTCCTTAAACATTTATGAAGCACCTACTATGTGCTAACTTCTAAAGATACAGAGACTAAAATGAAAATTGACCATGGCTGTTCTGCAGGAAGGAGGGACAACATAGGATCATGTGACCACAGATTTAGAGCTAGAAGACTTAGAAAGCCATCTAGTCCAAATCCCCTCATTTTGTAGATAAGGAAACTGAGGCCAGAGACCTTCAACGTTATGTCCAGGATCACACAGATAGTAGTGACAGAGTCATGATTTGAACCCAGGTCCTCTGATTCTCTTTCCCTCTATAACATGTATGAAGGGAAGTAGACACAGAATGTATTTCAGGGGGTGGGTAAGCACTAAGAGCTAGGGAGATGACAAAAGGCCTTGCGTACATGGTAGCGCTTGAGTTGAACCTTGAAGAGAGCTCCAGATTCCAAGAGGTGGGAGACAAAGCGTTCCAGGCAAAGGCGCGCGGAGGTGGGAAGCAGAATGGTGCATTCAGAGGAGTGAGTGACGCAGCTGGAACTTGGACCCATCCATGTCTAGCCACCTTCCCCCCCGACCCATTTTCTAGAGCAGAACCCAGATAGATTGTGTGCCTTATTTACAAGCACATGTGAGACTAGAACAGAGCTCTCCTCTGCCCCTGGCCTATGCCTCTTCCACCTCACCGTGTTAGCCAGGAAGCCCTCCTCTCTATATCGGGGACTCACCAGCCACCTGTGTTTGCCGTTCTAACCCATCTGTCTATGTCACAGGAAACCCTGTCACCGTTGGAATGAGCATCCACATCTCCAGCATTGACCAGATTTCAGAAGTCAACATGGTGAGTCCATAACAAAAGACACTTTGGCCATTTGTCTGGGGGGATGGGAATCTGATTATGTTTGAAAACCAATTCACCAGGAGAGCAGAACTTCTCTCTGCTCCTGACCAGCAAAATCCGGCCATGTGAAGCTGTTGGCTGGGTGCTTTCCTGAGGTTGGGGCTTCCACAAGCCCGGGACCATCTTGAGAGTGTGGGGGTCAGGGTGGTGGCTGAGAAATAGTGGGCAAGCCTGATTCCTAACTCCCACCATGCATTGGGAGATCTCATCCCTGTAAAAAGAATGCAGATTCACCTTCATGTTCAAGAACACCGTGGAGGAAAGGGGGCTGTGTCAAGAAACTCCTCTGGTGGGGAGAGGGACAGCATTCACTGTTGAGCCCCAGACCTCTCTCTGTAATGCATTTCTTTTTCTCTGAATCAACCGTGGTGGCATCACCTTTATCTTCATAGCTACTGGCTCCTTCCTGACCTCTGGGGTCCCTGGCCATGGCAAAGAACCCCAAGGTCCTCTCACCATAAGCCACCTGAGGAACAGGGTTCACAGCTTTACTAAGAAATGACCAGGGGAAAGAAACACCAATGGAAAGCAAAGTGAAAGTTCACTTGATCAAGTAGAAACCTCTCTGACTCTGTCTGATTCCCTACCCCAACCGAACCTCTCTGAATCTGCCCCTGGCCCCTCCCAAAGTGAGAAGGGAAGAGGAGAAGAGAGGCTAGAGTGAGTCACCTCCAAGACCACGTTGGACTTAAGATCTTCTTTTAAAAGCCTCCTCTTCTCCTTAAGCTGTGTCAAAGGCAGACCCTCAGGTGAGCCTTTGGGGGTGAGGGAGAGGACCAAGAGAACAGGAGGAAAACATGGTGAGAGGCAATATGGCACAGTGGATAGAACACTGGGCTTGGAGTCAGGAAGATCTGGGATAAATCCTACCTCCAACATTTACTAGATGTGGGACCCCGGGCAAGTGACTTTGCCTCTCAGCCTCAATCTCCTCATCTGTAAAAAATAAGGGGCTACACTCAATGACCTCTAATGTCTTCTCCAGCTCTAAATCTGTGAACCTATAAAACCCCACCAGGGAGAAGCCATTTCTTTACACAGCTACCTTTTGGGGTTGGACGTTCCTAGAACAAAGTGAATTGGCCAGGCACCCACCAGACTCACCAGTCTGGCCCGTGGGTTGATGGCCACACTATGGCCAGATGGGGTGGAGGGAGAGAGAGGGCTGTCTCCACTGGGAGACGCTCAACAGGAGGAACAGGCTAGGCTTGGAGTTTGGGGTGAGTAGGGGGGATGTATCTAATGTTATTACGTGGGGTGAGGAATATTGAAAAGGTCTGCTTGGTGCCATCTTTGTGAGCACCAATTAAAGAAAACTAGGCAAGATGGAAAAACAAAGGTAGGTGCTTCCTTTGGACCTTGCCTGCAACTCTATGCCAGGAGAATGGAAAGCAAACACCGGCCCTCCATGTGCTCCTTGAAGAAAGGTTTGTCAAGGTAGAAGTATTAGTGCATGCTACTAGTGATTGACAATGATACTAACAATGGTGATTATTGCCACTGGTAGCTTGAGTCTTGCCCTCAATCCAAGCTCAAGGGACAGTAAGGTACTCTCAATGGGGTGGGGAGGAGGGTGGAATAGGAAGAAGCCAGAGAATAAAGAAATGAGAAGTGCCTAAGCAGAGCTGGGTTTCCCCGGAAATGGTTTAGCATGTCTTGGTGCCCAGCAAAACCTTACCGTCTCCTGTCAGATCACAGCTGAACCAGGCTGGCCTGGTCTACAAATCGTGGGGATGGTTAGAGTTGTCCAGAGCCACCCAATAGGGTGACATAGCCTTAATAAAATATTATCACTCCTTTGCTTCCCTCCCAGTTCTCTCAGGAGCCTCAGTTTCACCTATAAAACGAAGGAGTTAGTGTAATGGATACGGCACATAATTTGGAGTCGAGAGAAACCTAAGCTCAAACCCCACTTTGGACACTTCACTGTACTGAGCCTCAACTTCATGATCTCTAGAATGGGAATAATAATAACCTACAATCTCTCCCTCACAGAGTGGCTATAAGATCAAATTAGATGATGTCTGCAAAATGCTTTGCAGACGGTAAAAGTGTTGCATAAGTAGGGGATAATGGAGGTAGATCTGTTGTTTTAGGCTCTGGTGGATTTTTGGTGCTAAATTGGGCAGTAGATACAATTAGAGAGAAAAGACAGTAGATGTAACAAGATGCAAATTGCATAAATTTGTGCAGAGAATTCCAGGAACTACAGGTCATTTGGGGCTGTCCTTGTCAGAGAAAGCATCCTGGAGCAGATGAAGTACCTAAGTTGGATCTTGAAGGATGGGAGGATTGGAGTAGGGAAAAAGGAAGGAGAGTCAGTATTTCAAGCAGCCAGAGTAGAGTGCAAACTAAAGCATGGAGATAGAAATGAGTATTGTGTAACGTTTTGGGGTGACTGGAACAACAGTGAAGAGATCAGTCCAGAAGGAATTTCTTGTTCATAGGAATGAGCAGTGAAAGATAAGGCATGTCAGGATTGGATTGTGGAGGACCTTGAATGTCAAGGTAAGTGTAGACCTAGTACTGAAGGTGATGGGGAGCTATTTACAAGTACTTGTGAGTAGAGAAACACTTTTTAAAAATTAGTCTGGCAGTAGGGTAAGTGATGGCTTGAAAGGAGGAGAAGATTAGTAGAGGGAGAAGCAGAAGCAGTTTGTCATCAGAGTAGTCAGTAGACCACCTGGACAGAGAGAAGAAATAGATGAGTTCAAGAAACAGATCACAAGTCTAGTACAGAAGCATGATAGAGTAGTGATGGAAGCATTTCAGTTATCTGTGAAATGCAGAGCAGCTAATAACTTCTTGACTTACCTTAGAGAGAATTAGATCCCAAATGGAATTCGCCTTTGTTGATTCCTCCAACCTTGAAGGTTGAAATTGTCCTTAACAGGGTAGAACTGGTTGCCGAGGTTGAATGGAGAAGGAAAGGAAATCTAGGTATATTCTGATATGCACCCTAGATTTTCAGAGAGGAAATTCCAAGGTGTTCAGAGGAAGGATAAGGCGGATCCTATGAACTAAAATTTTTCAGGAGAGCTAAGCACAAAAAGAATGGGAAACTCTTAAGTTTAGAATTCTGAAGACACAAAGGGACACAGACCTAAAAAGGAAGGAAGAACAGGAATCATATGAAAAGACTGGATGCCCAGGGAACTCACCAAACAACTTCTGGTTTTAAAGCCATGTAGAAGATGGCAGCAAGGCTAGATAACAGAGGATGACTCCAAGAGCAAGGATAGTGTCAGGATGAGCTGAGGCTGGCGAGGAAAACTTAAGGATCAAATAGACACCAAATACTTACTGAGGAAATACCAAGCAATTTGTACAGGGAGATTAGGAAAGGCCTTCCATAGCAAGGGGCACCTACGCTGTGATTTGAATAAAGTTATGGATTCCACAGAACAGAGGTGAACAAGGAGGGCATTCCAAGCATAGGGGCCTGCCTGTGCAAAGGATGGAGAGGACAGGGGAGGCAGGAGAGAGAATTTTGTGTGCAGGGAATAGCAAGAAAGCCCCAATATAGATCAGTCAGGAAAAATAGGGTTGGAAGGGCTTTAAATGCCAAACAGAGAGAAAAGGGAGCCCCTGAAGGTTCTTGAGCAGGCAAGAGACATGATCAGACCTTTGCTTCAGAAATAGCAGTTTGGCATAAAATAAAGAAGGAGAGACTTGAGGCAGGAAAATCAATTAGGAGCCTATTATAATAGGCCAGACATGCACATGAGGAATGCTAAGTAGTATAGCATTGAATTTGGAGTCAAAAATTTGGAGACTTATTACCTGCTGCCTTTGTGACCCTGGGCAAGTCACCTAACCTCCCTGGCCTCACTTTCCACATTTATAGAATGAGATGTTTTCTTCCAGCTCTAGACCTGTTATAATCCCATGAGCTGCCCAGTAGGCTATTGACAATGTGGATGTCAAGCTTGAGTGACAGATTGGGTCTGGACATAGGTTCAGGAGTTATCTTCAAAGAGATGGTAAGAGGTTGCTAAGTGGAAGAACATGACCGAGAGGAGAAAGAGAAGAAGGGACTAGACAACAGATAGTGGCTCTTCCACCAGAGGACAGGTGAATTGTCTGGGGAAGCAGGATCTCCCTGTGCTTCACAGAACAATAAAGAGAATTCATAGGTGCAAGGAATGCTGTTCCCAGACTCAGGAAGAAGATATGGGGAGTGATGGCTAGATCCTCCCTGCTGAGGGCAAAAAGGAGGCCATATGTGGACCTCATGTGGCCCACGTGGGAAGCGTGCTGCCTTCCTGGGGTGCCGGGCCAAGACAAGACAGAGAAGCTGCCAAGTCTCCAGCCCACTTCTGCTGATTCACATGGGTAAGAATGATGCCACCAGAAGAAATCTGGGATGGATCTCTAGGAAAGTTCACAATAGGAAACTGAAGGGCTTGGGGGAGGTGAGGGGGATACACACACACGTGGGATTTTCATCACTTTTCTCCACTTGAAAGGTATGTATTACTTTGAAAGAGAAGGGAGGATGTAGAGAGTGAACAGCTAGCCAAGTAGATGCTATCTAAGAATGGAATTTAATTTTCTGGACCATGACTCAAGGCACCAGAATAATGAGCAAGGGACAGAGCACAACTGATGGGAAGTGGGATGAATGTATTTGGCTGAAGACCCACTAACCTGATCAAGAGGGCACTGAGCTGGAATTGAAGGAGGAAGGGAAAACATGCTCAGATAAAACTGCAAAACCAGATGCTTAGAAAGATAAGTGGGGTGTCATCAAAAAGGAGCCCCGTCTTGAAGGAAGTGCATCAAGACCGATACTTATGGCCTCCAGCACCTCCCTGAGTAAGCAACAAAGTCCTCACCAACAAGAAGGGAGAGCTAGAAAGTGTGCTGTTCCATATCCCGGTGTTAAGTAAGCTCCTACTGATGTTGATGGCAACCATTCTCAGTCACAAAAGCAATAG